TCTTCTGCTTCTCCTCCCCCAGGCTTTTTGCTGTCCTCTTTTATTGTGCTAATTCAAGGGAGGGGGTCAGAGAGGAAATTTACAGAAAGGTAAAGAGATACAATGTTAATCTTTTTAGACCAGTTTACGTGACATGAGCCACATACTCTGTAACAGCTCTATTGACAAGCATGTCTTCTTTTGAATACACATCCTTTGTCTGCGGTTTAATCCTTCCTGTCAGTGCTTTCCTATTATAATGTTCTGAGCTGAATACGTGCTTTCCAGCAAGATTTCTTCTTGTGGAAAAATACAAGACAGAACCAAGATAAAATAGTCACACCGGGGTATTGATGTTAGGCTGATTGGTCTATAGTTTCTTGGGTCTGTTTTTTTTCCTGTTTTGAAGATGGGAACCACATCAGCTCTTTTCCAGTCCTCTGGTAGTTCCCCGGTGCTCCAGGATTTTTGAAAGATAAGGTGCAGTGATTCTGAGATGACCTCTGCCAGCTCCTTTAAAACTCTGGGATGTAATACATCAGGCCCTGGTGATTTGTGTTCATCAAGATCAGACAGGTGTTCTCTTACTATTTTTTTGCTTATTTTAATTTTTATTTCTGGTCTGTCTTTTACAGTTATGTTTTTGGTTGGTTGAGCTATAGTTTCTTTTTGCATGAAGACCAGTGCAGAGAATGAGTTAAGCAGCTCTGCTTTCTCTCTGTTGCCTGTTACTTCCTTACCGTCTTCTCTCTTTAGTGGACCGACTGTTTCCTTGATTTTTTTCTTGTTATTTATATATTGGAAGAAACTTTTTTTATTATCTTTGACTTTTGTTGCAAGTCTTTGTTCGTTCTGAGCCTTTGCTATCCTGACTTTGTCTTTGCAGATTCTGGCTATCTGCTGATATTCTGCCTTAGTTTTATGTCCCTCTTTCCATTTTTTTGTACTTGTCCTTTTTTTTTTCAATTTGCCAGAGAGATCTTTGTGCAGCCATGCTGGTTTCTTCTTGGATTTCTTGTTTTTCTTTCTCAGTGGTATTGTGCTGGACTGGGCTTCTATGATCATACTTTTTAGAGTTTCCCAAGATTCTTGAGTTGTTTTCCCCTTTAGGATTTTCATCCATGGAATCCTTCCCAAGTTCTCTCTGAGTTTATTGAAATCAGCTCTTTTAAAATCCAAGACTCTGGTGTCATTATGTTCTGTTGCTTGTGTTTGTGTTATGTTGAATTCTGGTATGACATGGTCACTCTCACCCAAGGTTCCTGCAGTTTCAACTCCCTCTATCACTTCTCTGTTTGTAAGAATTGTCCAGTATGGCTGTCCCTCTAGTTTCACCCTCTATCATTTGGACAACAAAGTTTCCTCCACCACCAGAATGAAAATGGCTTCCTCCACCACAAGAAAGAAAAGAAAAAAAACATTACGAGAAAATATTTTGTGGACCTATATAGACAGGAAGATATAACAGAAGAAAATATACAACAATATTTTAAAGAAAGATGTCTAGCTACAATTTCAGAAGAAAATAAAGAAATGTTAAACAGTGAAATAACTCAAATGGAATTAAAAGAGGTGATTCGGAAACAAAAAAACAAGACCCCAGGACCAGATGGACGCCTGGGGGAGCTAAATAAAACCTTACAAGAATCACTGGAAACAAGTGTCAGCTTTGAAATTCAGCTTCCACATTTAATTGAAGTGGGGTGGAGGAGTTGAAAAATTCAAGGTTATTCTGTATGTCATACTAAGAAATTCCAGTTGCAGTTAATTGGTTCTCATGATTTATGAAGTGTAGAAGTGGGAGGAGAGAAGGTGGATTCTGTGTAATGTGCAAAAATATTTTCACTTTGGGAAATTGCCTTAGACGTACCAGATCTGTTCCTAAATAAATCAATTGGAGAGAATGTGTCTCGGA